GTATTTGTTCTCCTTTGTGCACATTTTGCGGTCCACTCATTGTTCACACGTTCCATTTACATGGCCATTGGCGAGTATTTCCTCTGCAGCATTAAAATGTCAAATTACCCACACTGCCACAGCATTCAATCAATGCACCCATATTACGGCTTGAACGCCGCTCAGGCTGGCCAAAAAGCAGAAAAACGAAGCAAACAAGAATACTGAGCCAAACACAATCCGAGATCAAAAGTTCAGTCACGAAGCCACACAGAATCAAGCAGACTATGCGGCGCATGTTTCTTCTACAGCCGAGCAATTTACATTCAATATGCAACTGCAACTGCAACTGAAACTGCAACTGGATTTGCAACATGAAATTTTCGGAAATGTGTGGCTAATGTGAATTTAACTTATGGCTGTGGAACACTTTGGCCGTTGTGTCTAATTTGATTATGTGACTAAGGTGCTCGCGGTCAGTTATTAATGGCTCAAGGCTTTGGACTCAGAAGAATTAGACAAAAACGAACATTTTCCAACACAAGGACTTACAAAAAAACATTAGAAAAATGATTTATGATAACTTGTTGAAATTTACTATTATGAATCAGTGTCAAGGTTTTGATTAACTTCGTTAATATGTAATATTTCATTATTAATTATAAAATAGATTATTATTTTAATTATTATTTTCGAAGCTGTTATTTTCAAATAATCATGTAAAATCTGACGGGTTTATCTTATTTCTATTGTGTATTACTGTGATTTTACGATATATTTATATTATTGTGTAATTGGAAAATGGTAATCTAATTATTGCCTGCACTCAGATTTAAAGATAATATATACAAGTTCGTAGGACTTTTCAGCCATATTGTAAACTAAAGTTTTTGACTAAAATCCATACCTATAACTTCCTTAAACAAATCTATCTATCTTGTTTGACTGTACAATTAAGAGCGATTATCGGAATGAATTGATTGGATCTCGTAGGCAGACAAGACAAAATTAAAACTATTGGCTATGTTAGGCGAGAAACGCTTCTTTCTACTGAACTGTGCCCCCAGGTGCTTGGTATCGGAATACTTTCAGTGGTTCCCAAAGATCGCTACAGTTGGAGCTCGAGTGCTCACAGATACGCACGCACACAGGCGCGGATCACACGGACGACATGGATACTGTCCGTGTGAAGCACCCTCATTCGAAAAAGCTCGCATGCTGACGCATTTCCTTTGGGCCACGGCTCACACGGACAGTCGGCCAAGAGAGAGAGGAGCACTTAGACGGATGGAGAGCGAGCTTTTTCCACACGGCTGCTGCGATCTCGATTCACGGCGACTGCGCAGCCGCGGCTGAAGACCATCCCGCCGCAGCATCGGCCATATAAAAGCTCGCTGCGTCTGTGCGAAATTATTCAGTTAACTGTTGCGGGTTGGTTGAGACATACAAGCCCATCTTGATCGCAAAGTGTTGAGGAGCTAACCTAGTGCAAAATGAAATCCATGGTATGTTCGGTCTGAGCTCAGTGTGTTCTCCTTCGAAGTGTTACTTAGAATAATTGTGCTTTAAGAACTCGGATTCAGTTAAAGTGACCTACCAAAAAATATATATTTACGGAGCAATGTAGACTTGTCGGTGTTGCAATTAAAAGAGATGTCATAGCAAGTTATTGCTCAATTTCATCAGCTCTTTCAAATGCGAGGAAAAAACGGATGTTTTCAAATGTCGCAAGATATGTGACTTGTTGTGGCATTTTGATATTCCGAAATACTTAGGAACATAGTTTTTAAAAAGGATTTTATTTTAAGCATTTTATTTAACCTTTGGTATTTCTAAGAAATCACTACATTTTTAAATTAACTAAAATTAAAATGTGTAAAATAAAATTTCAGCCAAGAGGTAGGAAGTTTTAAAAAATGTTTTTAGCAATTCAAAGAAACAGAAATGTACAAAAATATAATACTAAAAAGCTTTGAGTACGAAATTGAAGAGAGTTAAATCTGCCTGCTTCCAAAATGGTTTTTACCCCAAAAAATACTGCGAAAATAGCAAGCCGCATTAAGTATACGCCGCATGCCCAATATGTTAGGGGGCCTAGGCCACAATTGAACTTGGCTGGCTGCCCAGCCAACTTTCCACCCAACATTGCATAATTGTCATATTCCAAATTATGGAGTAACCGGGCGGAGGTGGAGCCGGAAGCGGCTGCAGTTGCATAACCACCCGACCAAGCCAATTGGGTTTCGATCGAATTTAACCCATTTGTCATTGCAGCTCATTTTCGGCCTTGTGGCGATGTGCGTGCTGGTGGCCAACGCCAGTGAGGAGGCAACCAAGAAGGCCGTCGAGACCGCCGAGCCCGCCGAGAAGAAGCAGGAGAAGCGCGGCATTGGCCACGGCATTGGCTACGGATACGGACCGTCGGCTGGTGGCGCTGTTCTGGGATCCGGCATCGGTGTTGGAGTTCCAGTGGCTCCCGTTGCCGCTGAGCTGCCCACCCAGGTGCACACCAACACCGTGGTGAGGACCGTGCAGGTGCCCTACCAGGTGGAGCGTCGCGTTCCCTACCCCGTCGAGAAGACCGTCACCTATCCCGTTAAGGTGCCCGTGCCCCAGCCCTACCCCGTGGAGAAGATCGTCCAGGTGCCCGTTAAGGAGATCGTGAAGGTGCCCGTCGAAGTGCCCCAGCCCTACCCCGTCGAGAAGGTCATCCGTGTGCCCGTGAAGATCCCCGTTGATCGTCCCTACACCGTCCATGTCGACAAGCCCTACCCCGTGCCCGTGGAGAAGCCCGTGCCATACACCGTCGAGAAGCGTGTGATCCACAAGGTGCCCGTCCACGTCGAGCGCCCAGTGCCCTACAAGGTGACCGTGCCCGTGCCTGTCCACGTTGAGAGCCATGTGAAGCCCGCCGTGGCCGTCACCCACACCGTTGCCGCTGCTCCTGCCATTATCAGCCACGGCTACTCCGGACACGGAGTCTCCGGATACGGAATCTCCGGACACGGAATCTCCTCCTACGGCGGCTCCTCCTACGGCGGCTCCGTCTACGGCGGCTCCTCCTACGGCGGCTCCGCCCACGGTGGCTACCTCCACAAAAAGTAGATGAAATCGCAATGCTGTCGAGTGCCAAGCGAGAAGTGAAGTCGGGTGAAGGCGAGCGAACCAACAAGTCGAAAGTATCCAACAGACATTAAGAATCTAGCACCCCACCCCACTTTTCCCACGCCCAGCAAACGCCAACGTACGACTTACAAATTTAGTTTTAGTTTGTGATACCAACCGAAATTCTAGAAGGATCGGAACCAGGAGAAAATCACACAACTGACGCAATTCATTATAGAAAGCTTGCCAAAACCCATCTGGGGCGTTTGAAAAGTGCCTGTCTCCTGGCATCCAAATCCATCGAGTGTACAGTTCTTTTGTAGACAATCACAGAGAAATAACTGCTGACGAGTTGCTCCTTCGACTTTTCCACGAAAATTTCTTTTCTATGAAATATTTGTACATATTTAAATAATGTAAATAAAACGAAAATTAAAAAAAAAAACGATAAAACTTGTATTTTTACCGAAGGAACCCAGGAAAACAAACAATAAAAACAAAAATTAAAGTGACTTAATTCTATAGGTTGTTTATGTGGCATATAGAGTATTTGGACTTCATGAATCTTTTCATTAAGGTAACGACAAAAACTGAAAGCTAACGGGGAAATGTTGCATTGCTATTTGAGTTTAAAATAAGTTTGTTATAAACAAGTTATAGTCTGCCAACTGAGGACTTCGTATAATGATATATTATTTTAGGCAGCTTTTGGTTTTAAAGTACTGGTCCTTAAGGCAAATGTAAGCACATTACATATTTATGGATAAATATAAATTTTCAAGAGGGGGTGCTGACTTACTTCTTAAGTGGCTAAGGACAACAAATTGTTTCCTTATATATATACAATCTATTAGCAATGGGCATTCTTTACTATCACTGCTAGTTACAACAAATTTGCTCTTCTGACGCATTTGAAACAACGGACATATTTCACCGATCCTACATATTGCATCCCATTTAGAACAGTATTTTAAAGCTGCAAATATTGTCGTTACAAAAATGTATATATTTATAAGATTGAAAGTTGCAACTAATATTAACATTTAGGTTTGAACTGAGATTTCGCTAATCTTCATGTTCCTTCTTATTAATATTTATTTATTTATATATTTATTTATTTCTTTTTAACCTCGTAGATTAATCTGAACTGTATTAACGTATGTCAAATACATTCATGAAATAATGGTTCGCAAGCAATGTTTTTAAAACTGTAAATTTAGTGAGAAGCCCTAAATTTATGCAACAAATTGTGATATATGCAGCTTTCTAAGCTTTGATCTATTTTTTAGTTATTAACGCTAACAACAAGGTTAACATCAAGAGCTTCTACTGTTAAGGAAGTAACTTAAGTTTTAAATAAATCAGTACTATACATTATCTTAAATTAAAAATGGCCTGAATGACATTTTAATTGAAATGCCATTTTAACAAAATTAAAAATGCATTCTGAACAAAATTTCTAAGCAAAAATATTACATTTTTGTGGGAATTAAAAACAAAAATGATTTGGCATTTGATACAAATAAAAAATAAACCAATAAAAAAGTGATGACAAAACATTTAAAAAGTATTTTAAAAGATAAGAAACTTATTACAAACAAGCGAATTTATGTGGCTATTGTCATAATGCCAACCCAATATCTTTAAAGCCTAGCGCTATGCACCGAAAAATAGGCTGATTTTAATGTGAGCTTTCTCTTATCTTTCCTATAGCTTTTCTATATATTGGCACAGAGTTGTCGTTCAAATATATTAGGGGGGTGTCAAGTAGCTCTTAAATATATTTCTCTGTATATAAAAAAATCGTATTTTAATCCACCTAAAATGGGAAATATAAGCCCCATTCCCCTTAAAAAAAAACTCTGCGGCGCTTCTGATCTTTTCAGAAACGAAAATATATCATTATTCTCAAATGGGAAAGTCAGTCCCTTTTTGAATCTTTGCAAGAGCGTATCAAACACAAACACAAAAATGTATAAGATATTATTGCTTATTGTGCTCAGCATTATGACATATGAAATTGCTAGTTGCGATGAAGATGCTCATTTATGCCGTCAGCTTGAGACTGTGAATTATACAGAAACGGTTACTAGGCCCATAGAGGACTATGGAAGCTTTGCCAAATATTTCAAGGAACTGAGAATATCTGCAGGAAAAAAAAACGTGGTAAGCTGCATATAATAAGCAATGTCCAAGTTGTATTTAAGATAGCCAAACATCCTTAGACCCTAACCAAATTAGAAGAAAAGGAAGTGTGTTGTCCAGGCTTCGAAAAATCCTCCGACGAAAAATGTGTGCCCATCCCACCGACAACAACAATGGAAACAACATCGACTACAAAAACTAAACATTTAACCGAATCTGAATCATCATCTCTCCAAACGCATTCGACTGGCCAAGAAAATGCGGTCAAGCCTGTGACGAAATCAATTAATATCCCCAAATATCTGATATTTGCTATTTGTATAGGAATTGGAGCTCTAATAATTGTTATTGCTGTTGTGATTACTTTGCGTATTCGCCAAAAGCGACGATTAAGATTTTATACTGACAGCCGCATAGTGAAATTTAATTGTGATATGCAATCAGCTTTATTGTAGAACTTGAGTTCAAAATAAATTCACAAATAAATTATATACTAATTATGAATGAAAAAATATGTTTTAAATTCATGTAAGCTGATAAGCCCAGTTCCATTAAAGTGGGAAATCAAAATAAGTGAATTTCACAATGGTGGCACAAGCGCAATAATAACAAGTAAAGTTCAGTTTTATTTAGATAAGTGCTTGAGGGGTGATTAAAAGCCAAGCCTTTGTTTGAAGATTATTGCCGAGACCAGAATAATTGTGTAAGTCTACCAAAGAAATACAATTTTATTACTCAATTTTATTTATTTATATAAATAAAAATTATTTTACTTATTCATTCACACCTTCTGAATATTACTGGAAATTTCTGCACCTGAATATTTTTGAAATTATAATAACAGAAAAGCAAAGTCTAAGAACAGTTAACAGTTATTATTTATATTTATTAATTATTAATTTATAAATATTTTATATTTATATATTTATTAATTCCAACAGGAATTATCAACTTAAATGTGCAAATGCCTATCAAATTCCGAGAATATTAGCCTACGCTTTCAACGAAATATTTCCCTCTCCTCCACAACATCTCATATAATCTCATATATGACTTATGGCACTTAAGCAAAAAATAATGTGAATAATTTGCCAAAAACGAAATGTAAAGCAAGGCGGGCCAAAGTGATGCAACCATTAATGCAAGTGAGTTAGACCACTAACATTTATCGGCGCAATCAACTGCAATGACAGGCAATCCAGAAAGAGCCAATACGCGTTTCAAGTTCGCTGCCTGAGTCTTTCGTTTTGGGAGAACCTGTTGTCTGGATTGACCAACGCCAACAACATTGATCTTGTCCTAACCCGAGAAACGGAGCCGCTGCTCGTGCTGCTTCAATTGCGAATGTGTGTGTGGCAATGGAGAATGGCTCGACCTAAAAAGCTAAAAGCAAAGTGAATGCAACAATAACAACAGCAACAACCAATGCAGACGCAATCAATTAGCGATATGCTGATGACGTCGGCTTGGCTGATATTATTGTGGCTGCTAACTGCTGGTTTCTTTGTGGTTTCTGTGTGGCTGCCACATGTGGCGATTGCGTCATGGCGCCATGCAAACCGTCTAGCGGTAATTGACTTGCAATTTCTTTTGCCCGCAACTTTTCGGTTGCAAAGAAATTTTCCAAACCCAAATGTGTTGCCACATTTCAACAATCCCACAGAGCCAAATGAACGAAGGCGCAGAAGGCGCAGAAGGCGACCAAATCTTGTATGAGTAATATTTGATATTTGATATGAGTAATAATATTAATCACAAAGTAGATTTTTAATGGCCGACAAGTAGCCTAATTTTCACAATACAACATAAAAATTGCAAACATATTCTGCAATGTCTTAAATAAGCCATATAAGATCCATCTCAAAATGGTCGTAGGTTACTCTTAAACTTTGCAAAGCATTGACTTCGCTAACTCCTTTAATTAATATTTTTACAGTTTTAAAACTGTAGTCAGTTTAAGCAAGGAATGTATTTTTAACTCGTATTGTTTTTACTTTCTCTGTTTACTTATTTTCATATTCGGAAGTCGATTTGCGCAATCAAGTTTAATATTGCGTTTTTCCGTGCTTTTAAAAATGTAGGATATTATAAATATGACTTCAATGATGTACCTACATACATCCACATATATATAGAGCGGTTAAGTTCTCCTTTTGGATTTTTAAATTGTTAAATAGGGAAGGATATTAAAACTCTGTCCTTGTTTTAGACAAGATTATTTCTTAACACTCTTTTTTTCTTTTATTACCGCTGCTTTGTTAATTACAGTCATTTAAGTGCTGCCTAATTACGCTCCGCTCTATATTTTTAGAGTAGCCGAGGTCGGCGGGAAAAGTTGTAAAAGATATATGTTTGGTATTAAATGACTACCTTTAAATTATGCTTCATCAAATTTATTGTCGACTCTTAAATTTCATAAGTGCTGTATGATTTAGATTCACATAATTCCCAACCAATTATCACGTATTTTCCTACATGTATGATAAAAAAAGTACTCAATTAGCGACGAGTTGCCCGAGAACTGCTGAAGCGACCCTCGCTCGCCCATCCACACTCACACTACTGAACAACAACTTCGGCTTCGCCTCAGAAGGCAAGAAACCCAAGAGCGGCAAAACCGATTTACCAAATGTAAAACGAAAATGCAGACAAGAAACGGACCAGCCCGTCTGATGTGTACGTTTGCTACCCTGGGCTACACTTCAGCATAATGTTTATTCAATTTACGCAATTTGCAGCAACAACAGAGCTGTACATTTGATTGCCAACTTGGGGTGTTGTTGTAATTATGGCCACGAGAAACAAATGGGAATTGTGGCCAAAACTGAAATCGAAATTAAAGTCTTTATTTAAAATAGTTTCTGTTGAAGAAGTGACGACAGCCAGCGGATTTTCCTCATAATATTTCGCCAGCTTTTCGCTGGAAATACAAAATTTTGTTGACTAAGTCAATGGGTCAACTATTACTCCCCATCACAGCTGGCCAACTCGAAGTTAGGCCAAAGGCGGAATTATTAAGCTAATAAATAGTTTTTCCTTGACTGGTTTTTCTGGCTTTCTCGAATGAAAATCTGCATAAGCTTGCAGGTGGGTCGCAGGCTCAACTTCCTTATTAATCAGTTTAGCTTAGTGAACTCCCCTCTAAAACAGATAGACTGCAACCCATGAATTTTTATAACGTGAACGGCACGCTTAGCTGCAATATTAAGTATTAATGCTTTTGTATGATCCAATTAAGGATGGCCAAAAAAGCGCATGACAATGTGAGCAATTTTCGATTTGGCTGCTCGCACAGTGAATGCTCAAAGAGTTTTCACGCCAAAATAAAAAGAAGACATAAACACACTCTCGTCGGAAATGAACAAGAGTTCAAATGCTTTTGCCATTGACCCCATTTCCAGCTTTGTGTTTTAATAGGTCTTATTTCGCCGATCGGCTTAGAGATGCGTTAAGCCGAGATCGTAAGCCCCGATTGAGCCCTAATTGCAACGATCACTGAGGGAGTGGTTGGGTAGAGTACAAAAGTAGAGCTGATCGCAGCCAACCGATTGTAATAGGGCAGTGATTGCAGTTTACACGTATTGCAAGTTCATTGGAATGGTCTTTAACCTGAATTCCGAACAGATCATGTGGATAGTTCATAATTTGTTTGCCTAATAGCGCCTTTGGGTGGGCAAACTGTGATTTGGCATTGAACTTTTGGGGTTCCCCCTTTCAGATAAGTGCAGTTCAAGGAGTCTTACTTTCTGTTTTCATGAAGATGTATTTGGCTGTCACTTAAAATAATTATCATGTAAATTCATCATAATCCGGTCCACAATCTGCATATCTTCTAATCCATGAACATTAAATATTGACATTAGTATTTTATTGCAAATCAATCACATTTATGATTTATGGTGTATCCGAAAACCTTTTAAGAACATGCAGTTAGTTACTGCATGCTCTAAATCAATAACTTTATTTTAGGTATTTATTATGGCCTCCCAGGAAGACTTTACCGAATAATTTGAGGCTTCCCACCATTGCATATTGAGTAGCCGATCCAGAGCCAACTTTTCGGTCAGCTGGGCAGGCTAACAAGCCCAAGTATCGACCTTGACCAGTAATGCAATGAACTCTGCGGTGGCCCCAGCCAAAAAAAGGCAAGAAACCAAAATGGCAGTAAACAAAACGCGAATCGGTTAAACAGCCGAGACCCAAAAACAGTTATACTTATACACCATGGCAAGTGGAAACCACAAGCGAAACAACAACCAGCCACAATTGTAGGTGACAAAGAGCTGAATGGCAGTTTGGTAAACGGCACATAAAATGTCATAACTGTCATTTTCGCCTACATGGCTTACAGCTCTATATTTCGCTGGATGTCGTCCAATATTTGAGACATCACAGCCCGAAATGGGAACGAAGAGGAATGGAATGCTCGAGCGGGGACAATAAATTGTTACACAAATCAGGCAGCGAATGCAAATCGAAGAGTCGATGATCAATCGACAGTTGGTTCAACTTTGACACCTTTGTCGGTGAATAAAGACCCACCGAAAAATATTATAGATGGGTGAATTTATGTAAAGCTTAGTTTATCGCCAAATGCGACAAGGTCAGGCCACTAACAATGTAAACAAACGAGCTGCAGCCTGAATATCGCCACAAAGAAGCTGAGCTCCAATCGAATGATGATTTTCAAAGACGTGCCACTACAATGGGGCAGAGATACTATCTCTCAGCATGTTTGGAGCAGATATATATATGGCGGCATATGGTAATTAAGTCGAGGAAGTAAGTGCACGCCAACCGATTTTGATGGGGCTCAGACAATGTACTATAAAATCATCTCTCTGACGCCAGGCGTGCGCCACTGCAAACGAACATATGACATAATATCACCATCAGCTCGGGCAGCCTCCAAGCGCCAGACTCTGCCTCTCTTTCTTCTGACTATGCGCCATCTCTTTTGCGCGGTCGTGGAAATGTGCATCGAACAATGTGGTCAAGACATGCAACAAACGCGAATCGAAACGAAATCGAAAGTTGCATGCATGCAACGAAAGCGAGAAAATATTTGCTATCGTAACAAGTCTTGGATTAGCAGGTACTAGACATGAGTGCAAAACCACAACTTAGTGGCAAGAATTTACATTTGGTAATGACATTACAATCCTTGAGTTCGACATAAATACCATCAATAAGGATCTACAAGAAGCAGCAAAGTACACTAAACCAAGTTCTTTGAAATGCCAAATGATGACAACAATTAGTATTATGGATGGGTGTATCTATATGCAGTGTATCTATATTTATATATTAGATTGTTATATATACAATGCACGTAATCCTCTGGAGATCGCAGTACTTATATATCTTAAGGATGTCCAACAAAGAGAAATAGCAGCTATGGCGCGCACTTTTCCACTCGTATCCATGCTTTAAGTGCGATATATTTATGCTCGATATGTGTGCCAAACCACAGCTGACTGAAGACCCATTGA